GTGAGTTCTGGTTGCACGAGGTGCGGTTTCTGGGCATCTTGTCAACCAGAAAGGTATTATGGTCGATCCGGCCAAGATAGGGGCCGTGATGCGGTGGGAGGTTCTGAGGTATCCAAATAAGATTCAGAGTTTTCTTGGTCTAGCGGGTTATTACAAGAGATTCATCTAGGATTTCTCCAAGATCGCCGTTCCTTTTACCCGACTGACCTAGAAGTCGGTGACATTCTGTTGGGGGACTGAGCAGCAGGCAGCCTTCGAGACTCTGAGACAGCGGTTATGCGAGGCACCGATTTTGACTCTTCCCGAGGGAGTTGATGATTTCGTGGTTTATTGTGACGTGTCGATTACGGCCATGGGTGCAGTTTTGATGCAGCGGGGTCATATGATAGCTTACGCGTCGAGGCAGTTGAAGCCTCACGAGGCTAACTATCTGACGCATGATTTAGAGCTGGGGGTTATGGTTTTCGCCCTCAATATTTGGCAGCATTACCTCTATGGAGTCCGTTGTACCATTTACACGGACCACAAGAGTTTGAGGTACCTCATAGATCAGCCAAATCTGAACATGAGGCAGCATCGGTGGTTAGATGTGGTGAAAGATTATGACTGTGAGATCCTTTACCACCCGGGCAAGGCCAATGTGGTGGCCGATGCCTTGAGCTGCTAGGCGGTGACGGCTCCGATTAGAGATATATGTTTGAGGATGATAGTGATTACTCCATTGTTGAAGCAGATTACAGAGGCGCAGGTTGAGGTCCTGAAGGAAGAGCGCCAGAAGTGTGAGCGGATCGTAGGCCGGGTGGCCTCGTTTGATTATGATAGCCGAGGGTTGTTAACCCTGCATGGGAGGGTCTGGGTTCCGTATTGGGGCGGAGTACGACATATTCTGATGGATGAGGCCCACAAGTCGAGGTTCTCCATCCATCCCGAAGTGACGAAGATGTACCAGGATCTTCGCCCTGATCACTGGTGGTCCTGCATGAAGCGGGACATTGCTGGGTACGTGGAGCGGTGCTTGACCTGCAGGAAGGTCAAGGCTGAACATCAGCGTCCCCATGGCAAGATGCAGCCGTTGGACATTCCCGTGTGGAAATGGGAAGATATCACTATGGATTTCATTACCAAGCTTCCCAGTACCGCACGTGAAGTAGATTCGATATGGGTCATCGTGGATCGTTTGACCAAGAGTGCTCATTTTATCCCAATCCAGGAGAGTATCTCGGCCGAGAAGCTAGCCGAGATATATGTGCGTGAGATAGTGGCACGACATGCAGTGCCTGTCTCGGTAGTGGAGTTTTCGTATAACAACAGTTACCACGCCAGCATAGAACGACCTTCCTTCGAGATGCTCTACAGGAGGAAGTGTAGGACCCCAATCTGTTGGGGTGAGGTCGTTCAGAGAGTCATGGGGAGTACGGAGGTAGTACTCAAGACTATAGAGCGGATCCAGCAGGTCCGGAGCAGGCTCCAGACCTGCTCAGAGTCGGCAGAAGAGCTACGCCGACAAGCGGCGTTCAGATTTAGAGTTTCAAGTGGGCGATATGGTCCTCCTGAAGGTGTCACCTTGGAAAGGTGTCATTCGGTTCCGGAAACGGGGCAAGCTGGGCCCCAAGTACATTGGTCCTTTCAGGGTTACAGCCCAGGTGGGCAAGGTGGCTTATCGGTTGGATCTACTGGCAGAGCTCAGTCAGATCCACAACACTTTCCATGTTTCCCAGTTGCGGAAGTGCTTAGTAGATGATTCAGCGATTGTGCCCTTGGAGGATATTCAGGTTGACGACAGCCTGAACTACATCGAGAGACCGGTGGCAATTCTGGATTGTAAGACGAAAACCTTGAGAAACAAGGTTGTTTAGTTAGTGAAGGTGCAGTGGCAGCACCGCAAGGGTTCGAAGTGGACATGGGAGCCCGAGGAGGAGATGAGGGAGCACTACCCAGAGTTGTTTTCAGATGCAGCAGACTTCGAGGACGAAGTCTAAGACAAGTGGGGGAGAATTGTAACGCCTGGTTCCTGGTATGCATTTAACTTATTATTTATTCATTTTAAGAGAGGGACTCGACGAGTTGGTGGCCATAACTCTTCGAGTAGAAGGCATATTATGCGCGGGGTTTAAGCTATCTACTCGACGAGTCAAGAGCCATCGACTAGGCGAGTAGATCGGCCAAAATGAAACCCTAATTTCGGGGTTTTACACCTTATTTAAGCATCTTAATCCCCACACCTTGGCCTCATTTACAACCTCCTTGTCCCAAATCCTAATCCACGAAACCCTAGAGCATCTTGTGAGTGTGTGAGCCATTTGTAAGCAATCTTTCTGGTTTTGAAGCTTGAAGAAGAAGGAGTTAGAAGGCTCAAGAGGAAGAGAGTAGATCTAGAAACTACACTTCTTTGGCTACATTTTATGTAATCAAGTTTCTATCTTGACCTCTTGTAACACCCATAAAAATCAAGCCAATTTAAAACTTTTTCAAACATCCAAAACCATTAGTTATTACAAAATGTTTTCAAAATAGTTTAATATCAGAGTATCCCAGAAACCATAAGTCCAAAACACGAGGATGTGTACGATCACGCGTTCGCCTTTCCGAGACATCTGACACACCTGAAACAATAAACTGAAACCGTAAGCACAAAGCTTAGTGAGTTCCCCCAAAATACCTATACACACAATAATACACATATAATCACAAACAGCATACTATGAGTCCAATCAACCATTGGGTTGGAATACCCCAGGCCTTCAACCATCCGGTTGGAATGCCGACATACTACGGGTCCAATCATCCTCGGGATGGAATACCCCAGACCCACAACCAACAGGTTGGAATGCCCACATACTATGAGTCCAATCATCCTCGGGGTGGAATACTCATGGCCCACAACCAACAGGTTGGAATGCCCAGGTTTATTGGTTTTCGCACAAAGCAGATAAGCCTCAACCGCCAAACAAACATGTGCACATATAACAGATAATTACATAACAGTCTATAGACAGACAAACTGATCTAATAGATCATAACAGCATAACAACATAACAACATCCTATCTACCAGGATACTGATCTAACGGATCATAGCAACATATAACATCCTATCTACCAGGAAACTGATCTAACGGATCATAACAGTATATAACATCCCATCTACCAGGATACTGATCTAACGGATCATAACACCATATAACATCCCATCTACCAGGATACAGATCTAACGGATCATAACAGCATATAACATCCCATCTACCAGGATACCGATCTAACAGATCATACTATCATAACATATCAGGATAACAATCCAAAAAGGGCCGGCCTTGGTGCCTTAGAACCTTGAGTATAGTGAGGAAAACTCACCTGGCACTGCTGAAGTCCCGCAGATACAACTTCAGCTGCTGGTTGACAGATTCCCAAACTGTCAACATCAAACAATACCCAATCAATAATTGGGTTCCAAGCCCAAGTCCCTCACACACCAAAAGCCCAAAAGTCAAATAATGGCCAAAGCCCAACATATGGCCCAATTTTCCAAATTGGGCCCGACCCTTCACATGGGTCTTACCTTAAGGCCCAACTACCTATCCTGGTCCAAACACTTGGCATTCTAACGGCCCAGTCTCTTATAATCATAAGGCCCAGTTATGGCCCACCTATGACCCAATTTTTCAAATTCGACCCAAGTCCTTTACATGGGCCTTATCCTAAGGCCCTTCCAATTATTTTAGTCCATTTACTTATTCTTGGAAAGCCCATAATAGTCCAATCACCAAAGCCCAATAGAAAGGTCAAAATCAAGGTCCAAGTGAAATTAGAGTTTTCACATGAAATAACGATTAGGGTTAAGTGTTTCTTACTTAACCCATTAAGTCCAATATTGCCTTAGGTTAAATTGCCAATGATTATTAATTATTATTTTAGGTTTATTAAATATTTCCCGCGTGTGTCCCGATCAATTCCCAAAATTTAAGGTTTCATGACATTAGCGTTTTTCAAACTCTAACTAGGATTTCCAACCCAATACTAGCCCATTAGCCAATTGGTTGGGCTTTTATGTCAATTTGGGCTTCATTGGGCCCACTAGGGTTTCATTAGGCTCATTCTTGTCCAAGCATCCCAAACGAGTCCAAAACACAAACAAGGCACACTGCCACCCAACACGGTGGCTGGTGGCGGCAGGAGGTGGCAGCCAACACCTTACGATGGTCGTTACGGATTTTTCTTTTTATTATTCCCACATTATTACAACTTTACGATGCAATCTCAAATAACACACACACCCACGCTTAGTCACACACACACACTAAATCACACACAACCGCCTCACACGGTGGATGGTGGTGCAGAAGAGCAGAATCCGGCCGACAGCCACCATGGTTGGCTGCCATGGTGGTTCTAACCGTTTTCCGGCCAGCCGAAAAACGTATACACACATGCAAAACACCCACCGCAGCTCTTCATCGATCTTGAAGGAGGTTGACGGCGGCAGCACTAGCGGCGGCGACGGCGTGCACCCGAAATGGCGGACAGCAGCGGCAGCTATCGACGACCGTGGCTTGTGCTCATCATAAAAGACGCACCTGCTTCGTTCGACCCTGTTACAGCAACCCTCACGCATCGTCTTTATGATTCCACGAACCCAACCACCAACCTACGGTGGCATGCAGTGGACGGAGGGGGTCAGCCTCCAGACGATAGTGGTGATGCAGCCATCGGGAAGGAAATGGAGATGGAAGAAGGTGGTTCGAACCCACCGAGCACAGCAGCAGCAGCAGCAGCGAAGAGGCGACGACTCTTATCCTCGTCGGCAGCTCCGTCTTCAGCGGCATCGGCGCAGCGGCGGCTGTGGGTAAGAACCCGACAGCGTTGGAGGTTGCCCGCTAGCCCCTGATGGTCTTCCGTTTCTCCGATCATGGAGGAGGTCATCGTTGGTCTTGGTTGATCGGAACAGGCGAAGGGGTGAAAGGTGGTGGCGGCCGGACGATGGAGGAAGGAGGGGTGACGGCTGCAATATAAAGTGGGAGTTAGGGTTAGGGTTGCAAGGTGATGAGCATAGCACGGGTTATATACCCGGTTCTCAAACATAATCCCATAATAGCATAAATAGTCCCTCCTTGTATTATTCCTTTCAAAACAAACCCTTAATTTACAATCTAAACCCTCCATTCTGAAAATCCTTACATATTAAGTCCAAGTAATAACCATATGGCCCCTCCATGACCAATTATTTTCAACTTAGGTATGTAATTTACCCTTTTAGCCCCAGCCATTCAAGATTCTTTCAAATTAAGTCCAATATTATTCTTTAACCCCCGAACTAACATTCCGATAATTATTAATTGATTTTGGACTATAATAATATAAAATAATAATAAAATTACATTTTGGGGTTCCGAATTTATTATTTAATTATTCTAATTTAAACGGGATGTTACACCTCTAGTTCATTAGATCTCTTCCTTTCCCTTTTATGAAGGTTTTGACCCAAGAATGATAACCTTTGGAGAATGGACGACCCAAGTGGATCCCCATGCAATCCATGGAGTATCATATTGGCCTTTTTAGCCCAAAAGGCCATGCATGTGGGGAAAAGGTGGGAACTTTACGTGCCTAAGTAGTGTTAGGGATTTAGATATGAAGTTGTAAGCTTTAGTTTGGTGTATGGAGGCGCTTAAGGACAAGTTTCTAGGTCCTAAGGATTAGGGTTTTGAGCTAAACCCTTAAGAAGTGGGTATTAGGGGTAAAGTCAGAAACTTTACCCTTAAAAGGACATTTTTCAGGGTTATTGTGAGGTATGAAGCTTGGATCTGAAGTGTAGGGGCTTAATCCATTAAGATATCCCAAACATACAGGAGAACTCGACGAGTCCAGTAAGGGACTCGGCGAATTGAAGCCGAGTTGTCCCGGTAGTATGCCAGGTAGAACTCGACGAGTCTGTGAAGGGACTCGACGAGTTGACTCGGTTGACCACGAGTCTGAGTACTACAGAAAACGCCGAGTTGGGAGATAACTCGACGAGTTGGGTTGACTGGGAGTTGACCTTGACTTTGGCTTTGACCAGGACGTTGACTTTGACCAGGGGTAAAATGGTCATTTTACCCCAAGAAGAGTTAGCAGATTTTTGATTAAGTGTTATTGTGAAATTGATAGCCGGGGAGTCGTTGGAGCAGCCGTCAGAGATTCCTCACACGAGATTTCACAGCTAGAATTCGAGGTGAGTTTCCTCCAGTAGGAATGGGTCTAAGGCACCAAGGTCGGCCCATTTAGCTAGTAGTAGTTTCGTACTATGGTTCGATGCCGGGCGGGGCCCGATCTAGGATTATATACTTTTTCGGATTTCGACCCGATGTCAGGGCAGTCCCGAAGAATGTTTGTATGATTGATGTCTTTGTGATTCTTGCATGTGTTTGTATTGTATGTTTCAGAACTTCGGTTCGATGCCGAGGCGGTCTCGAGGAATGTTAGTATGTTACCGGATTACGGTCTGATGTCGGGCGGGGCCTGAGGTATGTTTAAGTGTTAATGATATGTGCTTAGGTTTATGTGTATTGCTGATTATGCTCTTATGTATTCTGATATTTGCTCGATGTCGGGTGAGGCTCGATGCCTGGCGGGGCCCAATGTCGAATAGCGTTCGATGTTGGGCGGGGCCCGTTACCAAGCTTGACTCGATGTAGCAGGGGCGGGGCCCAAGATATGTTATGTGTCATGTGTATGGTATGTGGTAGTTGGGGAGACTCACTAAGCTTCATGCTTACAGTTTTCAGTTTTGGTTTTAGGTACTTCCGGTAGCAAGGGGAAGAGCTCGGGATGACTGTAGTGCACACACCATTATGTTTATAGCCTGGGATATTTACTCTGATATTTGATACATGATTTTGACACATTGACAGATATTATGTTATTTTTGAGACACATGGTTTATGGTTGTATATGATGATTGAGATTCATGGTTTTATTAATTATTTTAAAACGAAATTTTTGGGATGTTTCAACCAGGTGTATCAGCACACCCAAAATCTTAGCAAACCATCACAAACTGCCTAGATTCCCAACTTAGGCTCCCTCATTCACAAGTGCTCGCATCAACACACTCTAGCACTCCACCGAGATCACTAGGAATGCTCACCCCACCCTGATATCAGCTGCGAAAGAAACTTCTACCAATGTCAACTAACTACCTTACGAATACAATTACATGCAATAAGGATTAAACAGTCCTTCGACCGAACAATCATGCACTACAACGGTTGGACTCAAAAAAGAGTCGCGCAATCGTCCAAATCAAACATTCTAAAAATATTTAATTCTTGTGGCTTGTAACTTAATGTATTCGATTAACAGTTAACTAACATCAATATAAGTTTCACATAGCACAAAGCAAGCAACATTTGAGCAGAAAAACCAATAGGCAAAAGGAATCATAAAGATCAGGCAATTCTAACACACAATTCCTAAGGATCCTTAACCTACACATGCATCACCATCAACTCACATAGCACACACCAAAAGGCATCTCTCCTAGCAGGCACTCTAGCATGGTAACCATGGGTAGATCCTTAGCTTATCTTATAGCATACACACCATATTATAACACATATATCAACAAGTCAAACACAACATATAAATCAAGTATGGATATTTTAGGAAATCACTTTACGAGCTTCGGCTAACTGTACACATCGCATCCTCTCTTTTCTTCTGTTGAAATGAATCTTTTCCAAAAATGCTTAGTAAAACTCTCAGTTCCATAGTTTGAGTTTGGAATCCCACGAATGTTCATCCAAATCCCTCAAACCAGGGCTCTGATACCAACTTGTAACGTCCCAAAAACCCAGGCTAAAATTTTCATTTTTAACATTGTATAACATCCATTTTTAATAAAGTTACATTCAGGATAAATCATTTGTCTATAAACCATTATTCAGAAATGAGAGTAGTAACGAAGACAATGCAAAATCTCGAATCATAAAGTTGTTGATGTGTGTGTACAGTCACGCCTTCGCAGTGCAATAAGTACCTGCAAAATATTTAATCCACAACTGTAAGCACAAATCTTAGTGAGTTCCACAAAATATCTCATACAACACAACATAACAATCAGCTATGGGTTATCAGCAACCCTAAGGACTATAAGCAGTCCCATTGGGCTAACAGCACGCCCTGTGGATTAACATCACACCACCCGGGTTATCAGCAATCATGGGGACTATCAGCAGTCCAGGAGTTATCAGCAACTCAGTTCACATATAACAATAATCAACAGATAAGAACCAACAGGTCAACATACAGATACTACCACACATGCAATTAGGGATGAGCATATGGACCGAGGAACCGGCCGGAACTGGTACCGGAACCTGATGGAACCGTTCGGGCCGGGACCGGGACGTTATTTTTGTGGATTTTTGGAACCGGGAACCGGTAGGAACCGGAACCGATATAACCGGAACTGGTAGAACCGGCAAAAACCCGAACCGTATGATGCTATTTTTCGAGGACCGGTTCCAACATTTGAAAACACGACAAAAACCGGTAGGAACCGGGAACCGGTAGAACCGCCGGGCCAGTTCGGTTCTTGATTTTGGCTGAAGCCGGTTCCCGGGTCGGGTCCGGTTCGGGTCGGGTCCGGCCTGTTTGGTCCTTTTGCTCATCCCTACATGCAATTATAGTGAGAGGACTCACCTCGCAAGTAGCAATTAAACACCACAACTCTCTCCCAGCAAGGACTAATCCTACATGGAACCTAATAGCAATAAAGAGTACTCCTCTCAGTCTACACTCCAAAACCCTTAGGTTGACCAAAATTCAACCCGTGCCAAAATTCAATGGTCAAAGTCAAAGTCAACAACCAACAATGTCAACCATCGAGCCTCGCGTCGTGACCAGCCCTTGGTCACGTCGTGAGGGCACACTCGACCCGATTCCAACTCGACTCGCTCCGAATCAACTAAACCGATCACGGACAATCCCATTGGACAAACCTCACAACGTGAACATTCCTCTATCACGTCGTGAGTATAAAAGGCACAACATGTGCGGGTTCTTTCATGGTCATGTTGTGACACCCTTGGTGTCACGTCGTGACTACAGTCTGAATCAACATTTCAATCAATTGAGTCCTTAATTCATTAATTCATCAAATCCAACTTTCCAAAAGAGGCTTTATCCATTCCAAAGCACTATAAAAATCATTGTTTTTGAGACATGCATGTCTAATGCATGTATTTAACACAAGCTAGGTCAAAATGACCAAAATAAGATCCTAACTTCAAGCATGGTGCCCAAAAGATCATGAAAGATCAGATCCATAGACAAAAATACTCTTGTGACAAAGTAGAATGATAAGCTTGCAAGCTTTATCACATCCCACAACACAATCTTCATTTAATGGACCAAAACAAGCTTAGAATCTAGATATAGCAACTTATAAGTATAAAGGTGGAAACTTGAATCATAACCAAGGTTCATAAGATAGTTCGAAGCTGGGATCTTCTTAAGCTAGGCTCCAAAACTCCATCTTGAAAGAGCTTCTTTCCAACATCCACCAAGAACTCTAAAAATGGATGAAAGAGGAGAGGGGAGGCTCAAAGTGGTGAAAGGGAGACTAAATTTTCTCCCAGGGGGTTCTAGATATGATGGAGGCTAAGAAAATACCCTTAAACATGAATCCTTACCTTTAAATACCTTCAAAACCCTAAACATTTTGTGGGATTGGGCTGCATAGTTTTCACCTCGTGATAGCCTACTTGTCACCTCGTGAGGGCTCTAACGTCGTGACAACATTCCTGTTACCTCATGAGAACAATTTTCCCCAAATTCTACTCCAACTTCAAACAATTATTAATTCTTTATTTCAACTCTGTCAACCTAAAGGTATTGACGAGCCCC